AATAGCAGAAACCTGGAGCTTGCGAAATTCCACCCAGTTCTTCTCTTCTTGTCTTGCGACCTCTCTAAAATGTGAAAGTGAGCCCTCCTTCCGATAGGTATTGTTCATCTCACTTTCTAGAGCGCTATCGCAAGGTACTAAGGCATCCTCGAATACTGAGTTCAGGAAAGGGAAGAGACTTTGGGGAAAATGAAAATTGGTCACACAACCTGAAATCTCTTCACCCCTCCCTGAGGCTTAGACTTCCATAGGAAGGCGATGTATCACACCGTTTCAAATGCATTGCTACCACAATGCCCCCATATCCTTCGATTGTGCCCTTTCTAGAGATTCGACTATTCGGCAAAAAAGGATGATTGAGCATTAATCAGGAAAGCCGCCGAATGTCCGAGCTGCAGATTCTCCAGATTGTACATTTGCATTCTTCTAAGGGAAATAGCCGATTCTAGCGAAGCGTGAGCTATAAACTCCCTTCAGGTTCATTAATCAGGCGATACATAGCGAAACTTAGACTGAACGTAACCCTAAGCTTTTTCCTCCACTCAAACATGCCCACATCCTTCTACGGCTCCACTAAGCCTTATTGTTAGGGAGCAGAAGGGATTTTGGGGAGAACGCCTGCAACCCTTGTTCTCTGTGGTGTTTCTCTTCTCCCCTTGGCTTCGTCCTAGTGTCACCTATCAGCGGTTTAGATGTTCTTTGAGTACCCCCTCTAACGCCATGAGCGCACATTAAACTGCACACGGCTATGTTCTCCAGTTAATTGATTTCTTCTGTATAAAGCCCTCACCTGGCGTCAGTGTGCTTCTTCATCTTCGCCCTGGCGAGCTCCATCTGTTTCTTGTCCAATTCATGGGGTGTAGCCTTTTTGACTGAATTGTGTATTACAACATAGCAAGGAACTGCTACCATCTCTGGCTCTTGGGATACTTGTAGTACCTGTGGTATCTCGTGGCGAAATGGGCCGCTATGCTGTGCCAGGAGACCTTTTGATGGCGCGATTGGCTACGGACCGGGCCCAACACAACATTTTCCGAATTTCATTTCAGGATAACCCAGCACCCCGTTTA